TGTTGGAGTCCTCCGTCACTGAAGCAAGCAAGCCTCATTTTCGCTTCCAGCTGCCTGGCTGCCGGCCGCCATCTTGGCTGGCAGTTAATTTGCATATCGCCCTGATTAGCCAATGGGAAGGGTAGCGGTCATATGCTAATTACCATGTTTCTCTTTTATTAGATAGGGTGTTATTATTGCTACTAAATATAACCACCATAAGCCAAAGGTAATACCTTGTAGTGAGGAATGATGATGCTCTTGCAGCTTCTCCTGAGAGAGGTGTCTCAAGTAGCTGAGAACAACATACTTTGTTTCATAGTGAAATCCCAGAGGCACAGAAGTAGAAGACGCCATTGAGTTGGGTGGCAGAGCTCCAAAAAGGTCTATTAACAGATGCGTAAAACCTAAAAACATGAAAGCATGTTTTCAGTTTAAAGTTTATTACATGCTGCCCAGCTGTTGTCACCAGTGGTTGAGCGTAGACCTATGACCCAGGTGTCATGGTTTGATTCCAGGTCAAGGCACATGCCCAGATGGTGGGCTCAACCCCTGGTGGCGGGGAGAGGTGCGGGAGGCAGCCAATCAGTGATTCTCTCTCATCATTGATAAAAATATATATTAAAAAATTAAGTTTATTACAGTAGGTGCTCAGGTTATGTCTGAGATCCATTCCTACAGTGCAACGTAAAGCAATTTTTGCCTTAAGTCGGAACCCACCTACATAAGCACCTACGTCACTCACATGGAGCACATAAACAGTAATAATGAAGCGAAACAGTAAAAAAAATTTAAAAGAAAGATAACAATTCCTGACCTTTACTTGTGGTAAATAATAAAAACCATAAAGCACGTATGTACATACGTCAAAATGACAGATCTTTTTTTTAAATAAATAAATGGGAGATGGCACCATAACCACAAAACGATGTACGTCGAGTCCGATGTAACCCGAGGACTGTCTGTACATGCTAGTAAATTTTCTTCTTGACTTCAATTAGTCAACTAAATACCAAAATAAGTATTTCTAAGACTTTTCTTCTGAGTAATGTTTTAAAAATATATTTACTTACAAGTGGTAATTTATTCAAATTTCATATCAAAAGCACACTTCCCTCTCTCCCTAGTTTCTCTGTTTTCACCTATATGGCAAAAACACTAGTCATGCCCTCACTGCACCTCCATCCAGTATGTTCTCTTATTTCCTTTACTAATAAAGCCTCCTAAATTGTGGCCACACAGTTGCCAATTATATTTCCTAGTCTCCTTTGCAACTGAATGTACCATATGATCAGTCTTAGCCACAGGAATATGAGTGGAAGTTATATCTGCAATTTGTGGGTCTTTCCTCAAAGAATTCCTCTTCCCTCCTTCTATGGTTTGAAATGCGAATATGGCAAACATGCAAACAAGAACACCATTTTAGGGGATGGTGAAGCAACAGGACAGAAGGAACCTGTGTCCCAGAATGACCATGTAGAACAGAGTGACCTTGCCAACCTGACCACTAGCTTCTGGACTGTTATTTAAGCACCTACGTTCTGAATCTCTTCATTAGGCTTCCTAACTTGTCCCCTAGTCAACACAACTACAATTCTCCCTTTTTCACCTGGACTTAGTAGCAGTTTTATCTACCATGTACTTTTTTATTTATTTTTTTAAAAATATGTTTATATTGCCCAGCTGACTAAGTGGTTGAGCATCCACCTATGAACTAGGAGATCATGGTTCAACATGCCCGGGTTGTGGGCTCAAACCCCGGTGTGGAGCATGCAAGAAGCAGCCTATCAATGGTTCTCTCTCATCACTGATGTTTCTCTTTCTCTCTACCTCTTCGTTCCTCTCTGATATCAATAAAAATATATTTTTAATGTTTTTATTCATCTTTAGAGAGATAGAAACATCGATGAGAGAGAAACAGAATTAATTGGCTGCCTCCTGCACACTCCACACTGGGAATCGAGACCGCAACCCAGGCATGTACCCTAACCCGGAATCAAACTGTGACCTCCTGGTTCATGGGTCGATGCTCAATCATTGAACCACACTGGCCAGTCTACCTTTTTAAGATTTAATCTCAGCATGTTCTCTCTTTTCTGAAGCCCACCCACGCCCCTCTTCCCTCTTTTGTCCCTCAAGGCACTTATCTCTCTCTCTCTCTTTCTCCTAAGCTCCAGAGGTCCTTCTTTTGCTTCTGTAACTTGTTTCCTGAGTGCATTTCTTCTATAGCTCACTTCTTCTACCTCTGTGACTTTCTAAATACACTTTCTCTTATAACGTGAAATAAATAAATAAATAAATTTATTCTCACATGCTGTACAGCTGAAAGTAATACAAATATTGAATGAAATTGAAAAAAATTTTAATTAAAAAATATTTATGCTCTTAGCAACTTTCAAATATGCAATACAGTATTATTAACTATAGTCACCATGATGTACATTATAGCCTCAAGAATGATTTCTTGCCCTAACTGGTTTGGCTCAGTGGATAGAGTATCGGTCTGCAGACTCAAGGGTCCCAGGTTCAATTCTGGTCAAGGGCATGTATCTTGGTGCAGGCACATCCCCAGTTGGGGGTGTGCAGGAGGCAGCTGGTCTATGTTTCTCTATCCTCGATGTTTCTAACTGTCTATCCCTCTCCCTTCCTCTCTGTAAAAAATCAATAAAACATATATTTTTTTAAAAAAAGAATGATTTCTTTTATAACTGAAAATCTATACCTGTTGACGCCTACTATGTACCTTACTAGCTGTTTCCAACCATAATATCTCATCAAGAAGTTTCCAAATAACTGTTTTCTACTTAGAACAACACTACAGACTTCTTTAAGATCTCAAGAAATATCCAGTAGCCCTGGCCAGTGTGACTCAGTTGTTTGAGCATTGTCCAGTACACCAAGAGGTTGCTGGTTCAATACCAGGTCAGGGCACATGCCCAGGTGCGGGCTTGATCCCCAGTAGGGGGCATGCAAGAGGCAGCCAATCAATGTTTCTCTCCCTCTATCTTAAAAAAAAAAATCAATAAAAACATATTTTAAAAAAAGAAGAAGAGGTTCAGATAGCTAACAATAGGAAAAAGAGACAGGCAAGGTTGGCAAAATGTAAGATCTGTTAAAAGCAAACTAAGAGAAATGTCCTAGAATAATTATTGTTTCTATCTTCTGGGGGCAATGCTACAAAAATTATATCAAAATACCCAATAAATCAACAATATGCCTTGGACTGCCCTGCTCAACTTTAAGTTCCCATAAACTTCAGAAAGGTATATTTAAAAATTATTAATACATATGCCAAAGAAAGGGAAAAGGTATTATAGCTTACATCACAGGAATAAAAGCAACATCCCTTGTGTTCTTACAGGATATTCAAAATATTTGATGACAAAAGAAGACAAAGAGAAAGAAAAAAATATATTTGATTACACATTTACATTGTTATTACCATTTAATAATGAAAAGACAGTGTTTCAAATTTACAAATAATAAAAGAGAGACCCATAAAAGTGAAATAAATTTTCTGAGATCTATGATTCAGATATTAACTAGCAGTAGTGCTATAATGCATTTTCACCTTTTTTTTTTATCCTCACCCTAGGACAGTGATCAGCAAACTCATTAGTCAACAGAGCCAAATATCAACAGTACAATGATTTAAATTTCTTTTGAGAGCCAAATTTTTTAAACTTAAACTATATAGGTAGGTACATTGTTATTAACTTAATTATGGTACTCCTAAGCTGGCCTTTGCTAAAAACGTCCTCAATCTGATTGAGGTACGTTCGCTGAGGTCGACCCCTTCCAACTCTCCCATCCACACTTGTCTTGTACTTGTTTCAGATAGACCAGTGTGGATGCGAGAGTTGGAAGGGGTCAACCTCAGCGAAAGTACCTCAAAACAATGTACCTCCCCCGCGCTGTGTATCCCACGGTCTGCCTGCGAGTCACCCGACCAACACCCCCCACTTCTTCGACACCCCCCACTTCTTCTAACGCCACTTCTTCAAAATAGACTCGCCCAGGCCAAAAAACCGACTTATGCGCATGGGCCACGAAGTTTCAATCGCACTGTATGTGCGCGCCTGCACGTGGTATTTTGTGGAAGAGCCACACTCAAGAGGCCAAAGAGCCACATGTGGCTCGCGAGCCGCGGTTTGCCGACCACTGCCCTAGGATTTGCTTTTATTGATTTTAGAGAGGAAAGGAGAAACATCGATGTGAAAGACATCAATCAAATGCCTCCCACACACTCCCCAACCAAGGATCAAATCTACAACCTAAGTATGTGCCCTGACCAGGAACTGAAGCACAACTTTTTGGTCTATGAGATGGGGCTTCAACTAACTTAGCCACCCAACCAGAGCTAATTTCACCATTTGTTTGTTTTTTTACTTTTTTGCTACCAGCCATCTGACCTTAATTTCCTATCTATGGAGCATCCCACAGAGGCAATCATAGTAGAAAACAAATCCCCCACTACAAAAGCTAAAACTGACTAGGTATTTTCTCTCCTGTTCTGGTCCGTGGACCTCACGCTACAGATATGTAATCTAGGTTCAGCCAAGTCAGAGGTTCTAGATTTGGAATCTCAAAAGACATTAAAAGGTAATTTATGAAATAGT